CCAATTTTCTTAATATAGGTGCTGACTTCCTTAAAAATTTCCTCATATCTCTTCTGGCTGTAGGGTGGCTCAGTGGAATCCATTTTGTTAATACCAACAATGAGTTGTTTCACACCCAGCGTGTAAGCCAGAAGGGCATGCTTACGGGTCTGCCTGTTTTTGGAGATACCAGCTTCGAATTCACCAACGCCACCAGCAACAATGAGGACAGCACAGTCACCCTGAGATGTGCCTGTAATCATGTTTTTGATAAAGTCTGTGTCCTGGAGCATCAATGATAACCACATAATACTTGCTGTTCTCAAATTTCCACAGGGAGATGTCAATGGTGATACCATGCTCACGCTCGGCTTTCAGTTTATCCAAGACCCAGGTGTACTTGAAAGAACCCTTCCCCATCTCAGCTGCTTCCTTCTCAAATTTTTCAATGGTTCTTTTGTCGAAGCCACCACATTTGTAGATCAGATGGCCAGTAGTGGTGGACTTGCCCAAATCCACATGTCCGATGACGATGACATTGATCTGAGTCTTTTCCTTTCCCATGTTGGCTTTGATTTAGTGGTGGTTTTCACTACACCTGTGCTCTTATGGCAAACCCATTGAGAAAAAGCTTGACATGTACCTCTTATCACAAGTAGCTGGAGTGTAAGAGAAAGGCAGATATCTGAGTCAAAAAAGATCATTACCATAAACAATATCTTAGAAGACCTGTACACCCAGAGGGCATGAATATATTTAGTCACCATGAAATAACAATGAGTATCAGTTACATGAAACGCTTTGTCCCTTAATTTTGTTTTGTACAAGAACATTTTAAATAAAACTTTGTTTTCCCACAGAAAACTTAGACCATGAGCAATGTATACTTATCACAATGATATGCTTAGCAATGTATTTCCCATGAGGCTATGGAAATTATTGGGGTCTCCTTTGTGAGCAAAGGCTGGAATAAATTTTTCCAGCCAGCTGCTCCTTTATTTACCAAGGGCAGTCCTGTCCTGTAGTTTTCCTAAGCCCAAGTCTTTATTTAATTATCTTAACAAATTTTTAGATAACCTATAAGAGCCATAGCAAGTAATACATTATTTTTGACCAATGAAAGATTCCCAATATTATACATAGACAACAATATGTACTGTATTTGTAAAACCAGTTGACATTATTTGGATCATCTGGCAACCTGGGGGAATCATGTCTTTAATTACATTTATCTAAGCCAACTTGAGTTACAGGCAGACATCTTAAAAAATCCAAAATGCCAAAAGAAAAAAGCTCAAAGGTTGGGAATTTAGCTCAGTGGTTCCGGCGGCTGCTTTGCAAGCGCAAGGACCCAAGTTCGATCCCCGGTACCCAAAAAAAAGAGAGAACCAAAAGAAAAAAGCTCAAACATAATAGCTGTACATGTTGTTGTAACAAATTGAACAGACACACCCACACTTGTTTGACAACTTGTTTGTAAACCAGAGTGCACTCAGATGTATTTTACCAAGTTGAATTATAATAACCTTTATAATTTTTAGGTTTATAACTATAAATAAGACTAGTCAGGGCCGGGGATTCAGCTCAGTGGTTTGACCACCTGCTGCCCAAGCGCAAGGACCTGAGTTTGATCCCCGGTACCAAAAAAAAAAAAAGACTAGTCAGAACTTTGTAGATCAATTAACAGAGATCTCTTGTAATAAGAATCAAAAGGAATAAAAATCTTTTACACCTATGAAAGCAAACACCATTTTAAGATGGGCCCTAAGCTGACAGTTTATCTGACTGGAATACCCAGCTACACAGGCTTCTCATTGTTGCTTTGATAACCATAGTTGTTTGATAGCCACATGTAACTGTTCCCTCTAAAGGGACAGACTATTAAAGGTAATTTTAACTCTCTCAAGTGGGGGTCTGCTCAGGCCAGGTTTGCATGTAGAAGAGACTAGGTGACACCCTTTGGAGCTAAGTATGAATTCCATGCAGTGAGGGAAGAAGGCCTGCCAAGGCTCCAACATGCTGTGCTGCAGATGTCTACCTATGACAGTTTTTTCCCATTTTGAAAAGAAACAAAGGCAAAGAAGGTATCCCTGTCTATCTCTCTTGTTCTGTGCCCAAAGGTGCCCCTTAGACTTTATCTCATCCAGTGCCAGTGGCAGCTGACTAGAGGTGCAAGGAAGTGGCCAGAGCCAGGTCAGCTGTTCTTACCATTCTTTAATTTTGCCTGAGGGCTGAAAGACAGATAAATATGAACTAAAACTTTTACATTTATCTTTTGAGAGTTTCAGCTTTAAACCTAGACCAGTTTTCTATATGGCCCAGAGATAAATGAAGGTGAGCTTAACTCTGGAAGGATTCCAGGAAGGGAAAACTCACCATTCTGAAATCCAGAATTTGACTTGAAATCCAGCAGCCACAGAGGAGGGAAGTGCCTTGAACCAAACTGCATTATTTCTCAGGGGCAGGGCAGTGGAGAAGGGACAGAAGAGTGCCTTTAAGTGTGGCACTAGAACTACATCTTGACCATCTCAGGTGTAGAAGGACAATTAAGATCAGGAGCTTTTCCAGAGTGGATCTGTGATCCTAGCAAAACATGTCTCCAGAGACAAAAGCTATGATTGACTCCCACTGCATTGCCAAGCAGAAAACAAACCAATAAACAAAGAACCCATATGGCTACTTTTTGCCTTTTGAAAGAGAATGAAAGTGTTCTAACTATATTGTTTAGGGCTTACCCTTTATTTATTTATTTATTTATTGGTACCAGGGATTGAACTCGCGACCTTGCGCTGCGAGGCAGGCAGCAGAATCTGAGCTAAATCCCTGGCCATGGGCTTACCCTTTTAATGAATTACTCTGAATCTATAATATCTCATTTATGATTGAAATACCCTACAGGCTGTTGAGCAGCTCCCTGATGTAAAAACACTCGCAACGCCATGTCTCACCTTTTATTAACATACAAACTGAAACAGTGTCCTGTAGCAGGCACTTAGAAGTGCTTGTTTGAGCTTCTGGAATGTGGTCTGGGAATGAGGTCCACAGGTGTCTGTCTCTTGGGTTTTTCTATAAGCTAATAGAGGGGACATGAAATCTCACTATATCCTCCTATGTGAAGGCCATGAAAGCCTGTAATTTGCAGGAATCTCCTTAGCTGTTTTAGAGTCTTGGGCTGTGGAAAGGAAGGAATTGGTTTAATTCTTTCTTCCCCCAGTCTTTGGGCTATAATAAGGCCTAAATATTTTACCTCAAGGCTGCAAAGTTGTGCGTTAAATCTAGAAATATTATAACCCATCCATTAGAAAATTCAGCAGCGCAGATGTCTTGGCTAGAAAGTGCTTCTGAGGGGGCACATAACAGCATACCATCTACCTATTGCAAGATGTGACTTGGGAAAAACTATAGTATCTCCTTTTATCAAATCAGGATGTAGGGATGTCCTATTTTTCCTGATAAATAGTTGACAGTTTAAAATAATTGAAGGACTTAGTCCTCATGTTTCTTAGACCTTCAAGAATACATGCCTGAAAATGTCTTCTATTTAATCTCCTATCTGATTGGCAGGCCAGTGGGGTCTTGTATAGGAACTGCTTGTGTCCCAGTAGGGACCAGTTACACCCCTGGCTGCCTATCTTTTGAGCTTCCAATATTAAGATAATATTTGTCCCTACATGTAGTAGCAGCTAGTAATACTACTTATCTCATTAGAAATCAATATTTGATTTAAGAGCAACATTACATCTTTTTAATCTAGTCCATAGGTCTGAATAAGTCCTCTGAAGACCTCAGTGTACATATAAGGCTCATCTGAAAACTTTTTTAGGTCTCATTTAACATCTTAGATCACTAAGAGAAAAAGACACATGAACACAGATAGTCCCATATTTGCCATTTATTTCCTGCAAGAGATGTTGTCTTTGAAGGACCTGAACAACTTAGCTAAGGATGGATATAGCCTCATAGAGATTAATTATGGCTGGCCTAAAAATTCCACCCTTAGCACCTGGTGGTCAAGGCTTAAAGTTGTCTTGGAAACTTTGTTCTCTGGTTCTAAAGGGTGAGAAGTAGCTTCAGGCTTAGAGGTACTGAATGTCTTAAGGGTGAGTTGTCTCTCATTTTTCTATGGCCCACATTTACATTTGAACACAAGCAAGAATTACTTCTTAGTATAAAGAAGATCTCAACATAAGATGATTTTGACCATTTTCTCTCTTTTACAGTATAATTCTAATTGTGAGATAGCATCATAGTACTTTCCTCTGTGTACTTGGCTTTAGGAGGTAGGCACACCACGGAAGAATGTAGAGAAATACTAAACTGCTCCTTAATATATTCCAAAGGAGTAAGAGGTTCAGATAGGGAGTTCCTAATCTGAAACAAGAGAAACAAATATGACGTCCCATAAGTCTGTGGTTGATTCCTGTGCCCCCTAGGGGGTCCCCAGGGCGTTCCCCCAAGGTTTATACCACTCCAGGGTAGGTAGCTGCCATCTGGAGAGAGAACCAGAAAATAAAACCAGACTTGACTATCTACCCTTTACCAGTTCGCGATCTTATCTTCCTCAGGGAACTCATATCCTACTCCAGTAGTTACTCTCAAAGCACAAGTTACAATTGACTTAAGCCATAACAGTCATGTTTAGAGAAGGAAGTATTGCTAGCACACCAAGAGGTTTAAACCACTGCTTTCTAGTTCCTTGAAAGAGAGAGAAGAAAATAGGTCAGTAGTCAAATTAGGGCACTTTCCTGCAAAAGAGATCATCTCCAGAGATTGTTCAGAGATTCTGCCTTTGCTTTTCTTTCTTTATTGCCTGACCTCACCCTCCCAGGATTAGGACCTGCAGAAGTAGCAAGCCAGGCAAGTTAGCAGCTGCTTGTGATTACTGGATGGAAGTTAGTAGTCCCCCAGCAAGGCAGAGTGTTCCAGAGTGAAATGCAGCTTCCGACAACTTAGTTTATAAACTATGTGAACTATTTCTCTAGAAGTTTTTGTTCTTAATGTTGATATTTTTCTTTGCACAGGGAAATTCTAAAAAGAACAAGAGTCGATAGTTTACAAATAACTGCTTGGAGACTGTTCGTTCCAGAGCTGCTGTTGCCCAGAGCTGCAGGGCCCACCCGAGCCTAGTGCACAGCCTTCAGGAAGCCGGAAGCTGAGGTGTCCTCGGACCTGGAAACCCGCAGTGTTGTGCATGGCCCCAGGGCATTTAAATATGTTTGTAACCAGTAAGGCAGATACAGAATTTGATGTTGACAGTAAAGTGGAAAACAATACATATACCATGGATATTGTAGGTTTCCTTACGCTGTTTTTACTGTGGACTTTTTAAAGTTAGGTTTTAATTTCAGTATGTAAGAATGATAAATATTTTGTATATTTTCAAACTCAAATATATGGTAAGCAATTTGTTATCTATGGAATAGATATATGTTTCTGGATAAAATGATTAACTTGTCAAACTGTCATTGCTTCTTACTATAATTGAAAGCAGTCTCCAGATTCTTTTTTAAAGATCTGTTCATCCTCCCTCTCTCCCTCTCTCTCTCTCTCTCTCTCTCTGTCTCTGCCTCTCTCTCTGTCTCTCTCTCTGAGGGAACATGCCTTGCAGACTTCAGATCCTGTGGGTTTATTATCATTGTCTTCAGCTTTCCAGTACTCTCTCTGTGTTAGAATAATAACTGCAGGAAATTCATGTCAATAAATTCATACTAATATCAAACTTTCAGTCTTTGTGAAAATTTAATGAAGGAAACAGACTTATTAAAGTAGGCTTTGCAAAATTTATCAAATCTTAATAGACTTGGATGTAATCTTTCTGATTCCCCAAATGACTATACAGTTAATCCTTTGTAAGGCTCTTGAGTTTTGCCTTGAGCTACTTATAATTACATTTCAAGCAAGGACTCTGAGCCCTGTGGGCTCCTGATCTTTCCCATAAACACAGCATTTCAGTGCACAGCTTAGGGCACCTCTCCCAGCACCCCCACTCCCAGTGCCCTAAAGAGATTGCTCCTTGCTTAGTTGCTTGCAGGGCCAGTTAGCTGAGGGCTTCCTCGCCTCCCTTCCCAGTTCTTTCCTTAGTGCTCTTCTCTCCTGATGGCCTCTCCATGCTGTTGCCAGTCACTGTCCCTCCCAGCCGCTTTCTTCTGGTTCTGTCCAGCTTAGCACAAAGGCCAACTCTGGCTTCCACTGAGTCGTCAGCTGCTTGCCATGGAGAACAGCTCTGGAGGTTAAGCCTGTCCTCACAGCAGTGAAAGTGTGGGATCCTGACTTGGGGACCTCCAAGTTAGTTGAGTCCCGTTCTTTCCAGCCCTTCTAGTCCCTTCTCTTTCCTGAGCCCTGCCAGGTCCTGTTCTCATGGTGCCTCACCCCAGGCCCCATACCCATAACAGGAACAGCAGAGAACCAGGCCTAGTGTGAACTTAGGGACCCAGCCCCATGGGGCAGCATTGTCCTATGGCAGGCCTTTGCTATTTCCAGTCCATTTCTACCCAGCTTTCAATAATGACCACATAAGCAAACCACAGCCCATTGGGAGCGAGAGCCTCTTCTCCTCCAGGCCTGCAGGCACACTGCCCTGCGAGCTCCCTCCTCTGAAGCTGTGAAGCCAGCCTGGTCCAGTGCCCTCACTACTCCCTTCCCAAGGCTGGGCTGCACATTTACGTCTTCAATTTCTCAGTCTACTGACTTCTCTCCCTCAGCTTCCAAAGAAATTGAATTTACTCCATCCTTTAAAAAGCCAAACTCCCTGAGTTTGAATCCTTATACTTACAAATGAGTTACTTAGCATTTCTGTGCCTCTGTTTCCTCATCTGTAAAGTGGGGGATATTAATACCTACCTCCTAGGATTTTTTTTTTTTTTTTTTGGTCCCAGGGATCGAACTCAAGTCCTTGGCTTGCGAGACAGGTGGCAGAAACACTGAGCTAAATCCCCGGCCCCTTCCTAGGATTTTTATGAAGATTAAATGAATATTGTAAATTGCCCCCCAAAATACCCAATATAAAGGTTTATTTATTAGTAATAAATGTTATTGGTAATGGTACTGATTTTGCTATTTCTTTTTTTTTTCTCCTGTACTTTGTCCGTGTTGGTTGACTTCCCTCTTCACCATTACTCATTCGCTCCTTGACCTGGGGTTGTTGGGCTCCTTTGTCCCCCATGGTAATGAAGTCATTCTAGTGAGTGCTGCCAGCCTCAACTTGAATTGCCACATCCTGTGACTCCTTTTCAGCCTTACTCTTGCCTGAGTTTTCCAGAATGTGTCACACAGGAGGAACAGTTCATGGCAGGGCAAGCAGAAGGCAGCAAAGCAGCAAGCAGCAGAAACAGCAGTGGAGCAAGCCTCCCTTTCCCTTTTATTCCATCTAGACTACAAGCCTTTTGAGTGGTGCCACCCACACCCAGGGTGGGTCTTCCCATCTTCCATACCCAGAGCTATGCTAATTCCAATCAAGGACGAATTTAGTACTGGACACCCTTAATCCTAGTATCATATACCTAGGTCCTGCCAGCTCCAAAAAGCCCCACCTGTGAATGTAAGAGGCTTTGGGGAGACATCTAGATACAAGCCATAACAACCATTTTCTCTCCTGGGATCTTTGCTTCTCTTGGATTTTCTAACACTTCTTTCTCTTACATTCTTGTCCTTCCTCTCTGAAAAGTTCTCCTCAGTCTCTTCTTGGGCCTCCCTTCAGCTATCTTTGCTTTGAAATATTAGTGTTCTGCACGAGATTCTGTACCAAATTCTGTAGGCCTATCTGTGCTGATAGACAGTGAGTTCTACCCTTGCTTTCACCTCTCCCCGGCTGCACTCGAGTTCCTGCTACCTTGTGGCTGCTCTACCAGTGTCTGATGAGCAGCTCACCACTTGGAAGGTTTAAGTAATGTCAGATTCACCCACCCAATTTCTTCTTTTCTCTAGTCTTCTCACCACCCCACAAGATCTGTTCTTGCCTTGTATTCTGTGCCTATTAACAAACTAGACACCATTTCAAGTGCCGCTATACAAAAAGTACACAAAAATACTTATCCACATTGTACTATCTTCATGGGTGTGTGTGTGGGCAAATAAAATGCCTTGTAATATGTTACAAAGTTGTAAGTGCTGAGCAGAATATAAAAAAGCTGAGGGGTGGGGAGGATATAAGGACTTGATGAAACATTGGGTTTCTAGATACAGCGATTAGACCTATGAGTAAGTCCTGAGGAAGGTGAGGCTGGACATGTGGCCTTCTGGGAAAGTAGTGTTTACTTTTGACATGATTTCTTCTCTGACCTTTGGTTTTTATTTACATATTCTGTAAAAATTTGTTTTATTTACATACCTTGCCAGCCACCAAGCTTTGAATTTGATATATTTTTGCCCTGCTGCCGCCCCTTCCTTCTAGTCTTCTTTCTGCACAGACTTTGTTGTTGTCACTGTTATTATAGGAGAATTGTAATATGCATAAAAATGGAGTGATTAGTACCAATCCTGTGTCCCAACCACTCCTCATGAACATTTTGCCTGTCTTGTTTTATCTTTTTTCCACACTCCTTTTTTTTCCTGGACTATATTAAGACAGTTCCCAGAGAGTGAGTGAGTTCATCTGTAAGTATCTTAGTTCTGCATGCCTTTGCAAGGGGTTAAGTACTGAGTCCTAAACCTGTCCTTCCCAAATCATCCTTCATCAGGCTCGCGTGTGTGTGTGTGTGTGTGTGTGTGTGTGTGTGTGTGTGTGTGTGTAGCTGCTCTGGATGGCCCACAGCCCAGGACTGAGGCCAGGCAGGGAGCACAAGCACACATTGCAAACTGTATGCCCTGCCCTGTCTCAGGCAAGTAAGCAGTAATACATGGTGGCTGTTTTTTCCTGCCCAAATATCTGTATTTGTTACCAAAGTTAGGAACTTAGTTTGAGCCATGTTGTTCTAAAATATTTATTACTACGAGAAAAACCAAAATAAGGCAAAACAAAATCAGTCCTTTGTGGTCCAGGGATTTAGCTCAGTGGTTTTGCTGCCTGCTGTGCAAGTGCAAAGGACCCGAGTTCGATCTCTGGTACCAAAAAAAAAAAAAAAAAAATCCCTTGCTCCTTTGTAGTCTCCAGAGAAAACCACTTTCACGTACTGATTTGGTATCTCTATTTCCAAATAGCGCAACTCTTGTGCTTTTACTTTGAGGCACAGTGAACTGACTTTGCAATTGGAAGATGAAAATTTGCCTGTTTTATCTGTTTTCCTGTCCCTACCACTCACATACACACAAACACCATCTCTCTAAAGTAGTTACAGGAACATCTTGGCTAGGTCAATATTCAATATATACTTAATTATGACTATTCAAGTACTAGTGGTAACTGATTAATGTACTATATGTTGCTTTTCCTTTCCTGTGTAACTCTTCCTTTTCCTGGAGTTAATAATTATCTTTTGGGCCGGGGATTTAGCTCAGTGGTTTCGCAGCCTGCTGCGCAAGCGTAAGGAGCCGAGTTTGATCCCCGGTTCCAAAAAATAAAATAAAATAAATAATTATCTTTTACCAAAACTTTATTTACTCTGTTTTCTATGGTACTGATCAGTAATTTATTTCTAAACTCTCTCCCAGGTATATATAACTGTTCTGTGTGGCCAATTCAGTTGGGTTTTCAGCCAACTTCATAAGTCTCAGGCCAAGCATAGTGGCAGGTGTCTGTAATATAATCCTAGCTACTCAGGAGGCTGACGCAGGAGGATTGTTGGAACCTAGGAGTTTGAGGCCAGCCTGAGCAACATAGTGAGACCATGCCTCAAAAAATAAAAAATAGAAAAAGTCCCTGACCTGCTCCAGACTGTCTTGGTTGATCTCTGGGTTGGCAGCCCTGCTGCTGTCCTGGGATCTCCCTTCCACGATATCCTAGGATCAAGTGTCTCTTTTCCGTAACCCTCTTGCCCGTAAGCCTTTCCAGTCACTGCTCTGTTCCTCTACTTGCCTTTGCATCCCCCTCTCAAAAAAAATTAACTCCCTGTCTAGACTTCTTGTGGTATAGAGTCAAAAATGAGAAAAAATTCTCAGTGTAGACACAGCACAGGGATTTAGATAGTTGGCTGAAGACTACATAGAGTAAAAGCCAAAACCAAAAAAAGTGCTGGTAATTAATCATGCATTGCTTTCTGAAGATGGGATTTTCAGAACTTATTAAATGACATTTTTCATTCTTTCCTGATAATGTAATACATGCTCAGCGTTGAAAATTTGGAAAATGAGGAAAAGTGTCAAAAGTACACATCTCAGCCAGGTGTGGTGGTGCATACCTGTAATCCCTGCACTCTTAAGAGGCTGAGGCAGGAGGATTGCAAGTTTGAGTCCAGCCTGAGCAACTTAGTGAGACTTGGTCTCAAAGAAAAATTTTATATATATGTAAAGGGCTGGGGATAGCTCAGTGTGAAGGTCATGGGTTCATCCTTACTACTGTGAAGAAAATGTACGGTACATATCTCTCTTTGAGGCTTGACTATTTTAACATATTTGTTTATTCCTGCTCTTCATGCATATATAAAATACATTTTGAATAAAAATTGGGAGTATGTGATAAGAAAAGACTGTATTCAGAGGGGCAGGGGCAGTGGGTTACCTGCTGCCCAGCTCCAGGGGGCGCCACTCATGCTGTGGTCTACAGCAGACCCAGTGGGTGTGGGTCAGGGCCTTCAACACAGCTCAGCACACAGATGACCAGCGTGTGCCTTGTCCCTCGAGTCGGCAC